GTATCTTGAAAACTAAAAATTTGTCTTTAAAAAAATAACGATTATTTTTATACCTAATTCAATAAAAATGAGTCACCAAATTACTAAAATACAATAACTTACTGTAGAGGATAAAAAGTGGTATAAAACCACGATGAAACTGGAAAACAATCTCATACACTCTACGTGTTTCGACGTATATCTTGAGTCATCCTCAGGAGTGTAGTTACAAAAAAAAATTGAAAAAAGTGTGTGTAAAATTTACCATATTATTTCATCCACACGTTTCCAGTAAACTGTCCATCTTCTTTCTTAACATTAAGGAAGATTTGATGATGATTATTATTGTCATATGTTTTCTGGGTTTGCTACCGACTGTGAATTTAGTTAGCTCTGTTGTATTTCTAGGGTAAATTCACGACGAGGAGCGACGTGTGGGCATTCGCCGTCACTCTCTGGGAGATACTTACGTTCGCCCGGCAGCAGCCCTACTCGGACTCGACTGATGAGCAGGTGATCGAGAACGTTGGACACTTTTATCACAACGATGGTCTGCACGTGTTGCCCTCTCAGCCGCCTAATTGCCCCAAGGAAATCTATGATCTCATGCGGGAATGTTGGCAGAGGAACGATAACGATAGGCCTAACTTTAGGGAAATCCATCTGTTCTTACAAAGAAAGAACTTAGGATATTCTCCCCAACTGTAAGCTAAGAGTTGAAAAATGATCACTGAGAGTTTTTTTTTTTTTTTGTTTTAAAGGGCAAATCCTACTTTGTTCTGAGGGGAAACAAATCTGGTATCCCACTTTAAATTCCACATTTCTATTATTCTAAACACCAACGTCGAAAATACCAACTTGTTTAGCCTAAAAGCTTAGCTTAAAAACTAGTTTGTGGACAAACTGTCTCAGCCAGTTAACTTTGAGAAATATCTACAATGAAATTCAACTTCAACGTATGTCAAGCTCTGAGCACTTCTCAGCTTCTTATCCTTTCCGATAACCTGGAGACTTGACAAGTTATGACTTTCTTCGATTATGAGAAAGGACACTTTGTAATTAAAAAAATAAGAGTTCCATATGATTGACGGACTGGTGCTGCAGAACCAGCTCAGAACAGGTAACCGCAAGGTGTAATTCTTAAACGTAGAGACAGAGAGAAAAAAAAACAAAATGAACAACGTTCTTACTTAGTGACAGCATGAAATTTTCCCTATACTTTTCTGGAGAGAGAGAGAGACAATACCGTGAACGTAACTAGGGCGCCATCTGTGATCTCTCCATAACAACCATATCAGTTCCAATTCTGAAGTCTATCAATGTTTTCGTTTTGTAAATGACTGGACAATTACTTGTACAGATTCTTTAAGAAAAATAATAATGTGTTAACCGTTTACATGTATGGATTATGCGGTATTTGTATGTATAAATGACAATTTGATTAATAGTACTTACTACGCAAATAACCTTTACTGCGTTCAGGCTGAGGCACTCCACTGATAACGTATGCACATTTACGAAACTTAATGTTCAATTTTGGCCTTGAATATCTGTGAGTTTGTAAAATATTACCTTTATAAGATTTGATGCTGTTTGAAAATGTATAAATGTGTTAAAGGTGGTCTTAACATGACGAAACTAAGAATCTTTCGCGTACGCACTTAGCTATGATATTTATAAATTTCCATTTGTAATAATCATCTTACCTAGTAAAATGATCGTTGATAATGAATTACCTGAATTTTACAGAAGTGTGTTGGGTTTTTTTTTTTTGGTTGTGTGTGTGTGTGTATTATTATTGATCCTGTGTGTTATGAGTGGAAAACGAAACAACATTAATTTGTGTAACGTTTTGGGATTTTTAGTTTCTCGATTGGCCAAAAATAAAAAAAAATGTAATTTCGAGTACAAAAGAATATAGAACCGAAAATTAAACAACAACAACAAAAAGATAATTTCATGAATAAAATTAGTTAGGGATAGACCTTTAGAGTGGCGTATTTATGTTATTAGTTTCAGTTTCGTTTTTTTTTTTTTTTTATGGTAATACGCGAATGTTTGACGACGTTCTTCGCCAACATTCTTCTGTGATAAGGGGTTGAATTGTATACTTTGTAAATATTGTGATAGGACTGACGTCACGCTGGTAATGTGAAAATAACACGCTCAAGTTAGTGATTTTTGAAATAGAAATCTGAGGTGGAATGTTAGCAGATTTACTAGGAAGAAAGCAAATTGAACAAATAGAATAAGACAGAGGATTTAAAACGATAATTAACTTATGAAGAAAATAAATCGAATTGGTATAGGTCTCTTCGAAAGGATCATGCTGTAACAATAATATTAATTAACGTACTTCATTATTAAAGTTATCTCAAATATTTTGCTTTATTGTGGAAACTAAAAAAGAGCGGGAAATATTTAATTTTGGAACTAAGGAAGTTGGGGGGAAAAGCCTTTCATTGAAAGCCTTGCTTTAAGAAAGTCAGAATATATATTGTAATATCAAAGGAATCCTTTTGTGAGCTGAATATAGTTGACTTAAATATATCTATATAAAAGGATGTCTCGCAATGATAAGAAACTAAAAACACTCATTCTATGAAAATAATAATATTTCCTCTTTTTTTAGTTAGAAAAACAAAGCTAATCATGGTCCACTTGATTGAAATAATTAAACATTATTTTAAAGAACATAGCTATATATTTAGATTTAGTTATTTATTCAAAAAGCCTATTTTTGTTTTTGAATTTAACCGAATTTATACAAGTGGCTATATATTTAGATTTAGTTATGTATTAAAAAAGCCTATTTTTGGTTTTGAATTTAACCGAATTTATACAAGTGGCTATATATTTAGATTTAGTTATGTATTAAAAAAGCCTATTTTTGGTTTTGAATTTAA